TTTTTAAGGGTTTAATTAATGGCCTGAGACTGCTTTTAAACTCTGACACACTTCCCTTAAAGCTGAGGTGCAACTGAAGCATTTCCAGCAAAGGAGCTTTGAAACTGAATAAACACAGATGCAATGCCCCAGTTTCATGGCAGCAGGATCAAGGAAGCATACACAACAAGCAGAGGCAAACTCATCAAACACTCTTCAGTGTGTATTTAAAATGCATTTAAATACTATACATACAGTGTGAGAGAATTAAATGGGTTTCAAGGGAGCAACGCGTACTGTACGTGGCTTCAGTTCTTGCTAAGCTGTTTTTGTAAATCGCTTATGGGCTTGGCTGGATGAATTATTCCTGAGCTGCATCCAGATGAATCCCAATCAGGTCAATGTGCTGCAATTTCTGCTTTTGAAATACAGCCAATGTTATTGGAAACAGTGGATTTTTTGGAGGGGGATGTAAATATTGTCAGCAGCTCAAAACATTCATGAGGCTATTAGAACATTTTTGATTATAATTTTCTGCTCTATTATCAACAATTTTCACAAGCCAATAATACATTCACAGAAAGAAAAAAAAAAGCTGTTAAAATTGTTCAGTTGCGCAATGAAATCTACGTGCCATTATTTCTCCCAGATTCTGAGCTTGTCAGTCTTTTATTTTGGCTCGACGAGAACACATGTCAGTGTTTTTGAACGCAAACATGAGTCGCTAATGGCTCTAAGCACTAATGTAAACTCAGCCTGTTGGGAGCGGTGATATCACTGCGTGAAGCATGTGCAGCGGGATGCGTTTTGAGTGTTTGCTGCTGGCAGAGCTGGAGAAAAGGTATTTTGTAACCTCTGCTATCCTGTAATGGGTGGGTGCACATGTTTATTTGTCTGTGTACTTAATGTATGTCATCTTAAACCTCATATTTTTAAGTCAGCATCTGTGTTTCCATGAAGTCATGTCCATGAAATCTATATCACAACAGCTGGGTTGCAAAATAGAAGTCAATTTCAAAATAATTGCTACAGTGTAAACCTCCTCCCACACCCTCCAGCTTAATTTCTCTTTTTCCATCAGCTCATTACAGCACAGGTGGATCTTTAGTAAAATGCATCTGAGGAAAATAGTTCGCCCGCTGCCTTGATAAATGCAGGGGAAAATGAGTCATACCCGAAGGCGGACCTATATCTGAATGTGATATTATAGGTACACTAATAGAGATACAGAGATAGAGTGAAATGCGATTGCCGTATCTGCCCTTATTAACATTACATTACTCAGAGCTCGTCTAAAAGCATTCAAGGTATGCAAAAAAGGAAAGCATTCATGTATCTGAAGCCACGGGGTTGAGGTTGTCATGTGCAAAGCAGTGCTTTTCCCAAGTGCTCTACCATGCAGGAATAATTTTCCAATTACTTCCAGTTATATAATCATTATTACTGTGAAATGAACGACTTCAGATCGTCTTCATATATTCATAGCATTAATATTTCCTTTAGAGCAGCTAAATAAGAAAAAAAAACCCAACCTCTCCCCTCCAAAAATACACTGGAAAGGCACATTCGTGATGGGAGACCTAATGAGGCGTCAAGACAAAATGTCATTTTCACTCCAAAAGTGTATTGTTGTTTTAAAGCAACATTAAAGATATGAAAGTAATGGCGCTATCTGAGGGCCTCTCGGTAGGTGGTGGAATACTTTCGCAGTATAAATTGCACCCCTGAACTTGACTAGTGCAACGGTTTCGTTACTGATTACAGTTTTTTTTAAGGTAACAGAGTACATTTTGAAATAAATCTTCCACCTGTGTGCATGTGCTTCGCTGCAGAGCATAATTGAGTTCCCATCCTGGCAAGAAAAAAAAAACCTTCAGACAAAGAGTTTTATTCAGTAAAATGAATAGTTTTTCTTCATGAGTATGTTTTCTATTTAGGCACAGACGCACAACGAAAAATCAGAGCACACAGAAACAGATGACGAGCTGTTGTCTGTCTTCTCGCTGCCATTCCAACGTAAAAAGCTGGGGCGGACCGTGACATGTGTCTTGTTGACATGCCAAATTTAGCTGGCATGACTAATCGATGATGACACCGTTGATCGTAATATGCAAAATGTGAGCAGATGTAGAAGCAAAGTGTGGTCCGTGTTATGAAGTTTACTTAGGGAGTAAGAAAATGAGTGATTTATCAATAATGTCTGTGGAGCATGTCGCCAGAGTCCTTTTGATGTGTTAGTTTTCGTTTCCAATGTTCCAAAGAGTACAAATGACGTTATTACCATTAAATCTGTCAGCGGCGGAGCTGACACGCTGTTGCTGTGCTGCGGATTATTAGCGTAAATGAAAGACTTGGTGGACTTGTAATCATCAGAACTGGAAGATTGATTTTATTTTTGAAGTTTAAGTGATGCTGATAGTGCTGCAGCTGTACTGTAGGTGTACTGTGTACGCCAGAATCAATATGGCAAATATGATCACAGCGTTTCCTGACCTTGAAATCATAACTGCCACATATTTGCAGGTGGTTCAGTCCAACCAGGATGACTGCACACGTTCCATAGTCTCATCATGTCGCGACGGTTTACCAGTTAGCGGTGTGCTTGCACGTTTGCAGTTGCACGACAACGGGGGGATTAGCAGCAACTTATTTGGGACGGGATCATAAACATGGAATCATAATGGATGGAAAATCTCCAACACTTGAAGGGAGATAATTCAAAACATGCAAAACCTCCACAGAAAACAACTGGCCTCATCAAAAGTGGGACACAAAACAGAATTCTGCTGTTGCTTCGCCACAGTATGTTTCCCTCTAGATACAGAACTCAAACTAAACTGCCCCGAATTGCTGGGTGGTGCATGGCAGTGATTCTAATTAGCAATGCCTTTGATCTGTGAACAGCTTCACATCAATAAACTTCAGCTCCGCAGCGCTTGAGATTGTTTTGTTTAGGGGTTTTTTTTTCATTTCAATTATTTAGCAACTCGTATTTTCTCGTCAGGTTTGACTAATAACAACAACAGGTCTGGACTTATTGCATTAATTTGGACTAAATGGTCTGGTCAGGGAGTGTTTAGTCCAGAGCTAAAAGACATTTGGAACTTTTTAGAGATTGTACACAAACTCTGGGAATGACTTTTAGCCAAAACTAAACCACAACCCAACAAATTTGTGTCATGAACAATAAGATACCAAAGATCCCACAGAGGAGCGCTAAATTGGCCAAATGGTTGCTCTTATCCTCGAGGGCTGGTTATGGTGCTGTAGCTCTAGCTGTGTTGTGAGCACACAGTCTTGTACGCTGATACTTCAAAACGACAGAAAAATAAATTATACAGCTTTCAGAAAAATGACAACATGCAGACAAAAGAATTCTCGACGTTTGACTGAGGCGTGATTGGCACTTCTGCCTCACAGCGTAATGCGAAAGGGAAACGCAAGAAGCCCTTCACAGCTGGAAAAAAAGTGGAGAATAGTTTTAAAGTTATGATTCACTGTATGCATGGTGTGACGGCTGTGTTGACAGCTTCGAAAAACAAAAACACTTAACGATAATTCCCCGGTGCAGCAGCAGGTTTTTTTTTGTCAGCTATTTAGAATTGGCAGCTCCACAAAGATATTTTCTTTGACGTCCGCACACGTTCAGCATCTTTTGCTGTTTACTAACGGCCAAAACAGTGCACCACCGCTGCTCTTACACGATGCATACGTCATGATTAATTTAAGGAATTACTTGTGGACACCAGGTGTGAGCTCATGCAGGGTGTGTGTGTGTGTGTGTGGAGCTGCTCCGTAGGCTGCTGTGAGTTTTATTGCATTTCCCAGAGAGAGGAATATGATGTCATCAACATGTGTCTCATCTACAGTTAAGACCCCATTTCCTGGTCTGATAGCTGAGCTGGGGATAAGGAGTTTCTGTTCTCATAATAAGGAAAAAGTTTCCTTCCTCGCTCGCTCGCTCTCGCCCTCCCACCAGGTGTTTTCTTTTCTCACTCCGCAGCCACACAAGCGCTCACTCTCAATCTGCACCCAAACTGTTGACATTTTATGGAGTAAACAGCTTTCAGTTCGCCGTCATTTTTATTTAGAAAAGGAAACTGTTAAAAATATAGTTAGACATCATTGGCTAGTGAGACATCATACATATTAATATTTAAGAATTTCTCCCTTTAGGCGAAAAAAAAACAAAAACAGGTGTCGTACAACAGAGTCTTTACAAGACAAATAATTTAAAGACACAATGAAAAACATGAAAGAACAGATAAAGGTATATAACTATGAACTGCTGGCTTTTTGCACAAGCTGCGGGCAGGCTCTGGAAACACACATTTATACAATCTTTTCTATCAAAATAATCACGGCGATCACTCTTTTGACGTGTTAACATGGATGCTTTGTGCCGCATTCTGCCTCATTAAAGCAGTGACAATGTGAGATACAGTCAGCGGCACAATGTTTGTCCAGGTTTGAAACTCACAAGATGAGGAAAATCCTGAAGATGCTGGTGTTTGCTTAGATTATAACACTGAAGTCCTCCGTCATCGTGTCTGTCGGGGATTAAATGTAACACAAATATAGGCAGTACGAGGCAAGTAAGGCTGCCAGTTTAAGTTAGTGTTTGTTGCAACAACTCCAACAATTAATAATATGTAGATAGCCAGTAAAAACAAAAAAAAAAAGTAAGGTAAATGCCAAGATGGCATTTTAAATCCATTTTTTGTCCTAATTTACAACATTTGACCAAAAAAAAACATATTTTATTAATATCCACATCTGGTTAAGCAGAATTATATTAGGCGACATCATACTTATGTAAGCATACAGTATTGTATATTACACTGTACTTCTAAGTGTAAAATGTCCAGTATAGTAATAAAGCAAGGTGAAGCACCGTTGTTAGGTTTCCATTTTGTATTAAAGCAATTCTAAAACTGTGCAACAAGGAATCATTTAATCCTTCAAACGAGGGTTAAAAGGTTTCTGCGTTTTACATAAATACTTATATAGAAGTAATATTTTAGTACTGTTGTAATAGGCAAGGAAACTAATTTAGTTTTACTGAAAATAACAAATCTGGTAGTTTTCGCTGAAAAAATATCTACGGGCACAAACGTGGCCATTTGCATCTTTTGCTGCGAGCGTGAAATGAGCACCATTTCAAAACAGATTTAAGCCAGTGAGACACACAGCAAGGCACAACAGGTTGAGTGTGTAACACCACCTGCATTAAAGCGTCCTCCTCGAACAATAATTACTTGTTTATGCAAAAAAAAAAGAAGTAAGACATTGTGTCCGCTGTGAATCTTGCAACTCCTGATACAAAAACAACACAGTATTGACGACAAACTCAGACATTAAAAACACAAACATAAGACATATTATACCGTATATTAGTCCTTTCTGAGATTCAGCACAGAGCTTTGCAGTTTCTTTGGGCATGAGGGACACATAGTGTTAGCAGAAGAAGTCATTCACTTGAGAAAAAAGGATCAGTGGAGTTTCTTTGTCTCTATTACGTGTTTTTGTGGGTCTGTCTGTGTGTGTGTGTTTGCTTCAGCCCATTATATAACGTGCAGGTATGTCGTCTTGGTGTCCACTCCTATCACATTTTTGGCCGTGCACCTGTAAAATCCTGTGTCCCTACCTGTCGGGTTCTGTATCACCAGGGAACCCTGAGGACTAAGGTAGCGGTTGCCATAAATGCGAGGCTGACCCATCACCCTCAGCTGTGTCAGGTCTGGCGTTTCCCAGGTGACTGTCGCCCGAGGTGTTGCTATGGTCAGGCAGGGCAGCTCCACGGCAACCCCGGGGCGAGTGTAGGTCACCGGGGAGGGGCCTGTTGTGATGCGTGGAGGGTAGGCGATGACAATGACGGGAACTGTGGCGACTGACACTAAGGAGGAGTCGTAACTGGTGGACCTGCAGGTGTAGGTGCCTCGGTCGAACACAGACGTCTGATGTACTGTTAATGTTCCATCATCTTGGACTAAGTAACGGCCTGAGTCGCCACTCTCACCCCTGGACAGCACTTTGCCGCTGGGCATGGTCCAGGAGAGAGAGCCCTTCAGGTGTCCAGGGGGTTGTGGGCAGGGCAGCTGAAGGACTTCTCCATTAATGATGCTCACCAGGGGAGCCGATCTGGTGGTCACTGTTGGCTCTGCGACAGGGCCAGTAAAAGGTGGAGGGCCAACTGGGTGGGGTGCAGCAGGCAAACTGAGGCCCCTCTGCAGAGGCTTCTGAGTAACTGCGATTCTTGGATGAAGCACCACAGGCGGCACTGGCCTCGAGTTTAAAGATCGAGCTGAATTCAGTTGAGGCGCCTCAATTGAACCACCCCTTGTCTGTGCAGGTCTTTCCACCGCTGGTCCCCTCTGCGGAGATCTGGCCTCCTCCTGCGTCTCCGCTACCTCCAGCTCCACCCGAATCGTCGTCTCTCCTCTCTCACTTTTCACTACACAAACCAAGGTCCCGCCGTCACTCGCCCGGACGCCCCGCAGCTCCAAGGAGCCGTTTCGATGCACAGTGAGTCGGCTGCCGTAATAAGGAGCTGGCAGCATGCCGTTACCGGGCAGAAACCAGGCCAGTCGGGGGGGAGGAGAACCTTGGGAGGGGCAGGGCAAAAGAACCGTTTGGCCTTTAACCGCTCGCTGCTTCACCGTCGTCACCACACCCACGACTGAGTTCGTAAAGTTTTTAGCACTTGCACTACTGCTTGAGCCAACACTATTTCTTCTGTTGTCATTGGTTCCTTCTAGATTGCTACTCCTACTAAAACCATTTCCTCTGAGTGTGCTTGTACCAGCTCCATTATTAGACACACTGCTACCGAAGCTTCCAGCGTCTCTTGAAATACCACTTAACCTGCTGTAGTCTCTACTGGCGTTAGCATCATTACTAACCTTTCCTGCAGTGACTTCATTATTATTAGTCCCAGGATTCCTTTCAACACTCTCTCCTCTTGCTGTGCCGTGACCGTTGCCCACACTATTACTACCACTCGTAATGCCAGGTCCGTTTCTATTTATTACAATATTATCTGCTTTAAAGCCTACGTTTCTTGCCCCGTTCACCCCAACTGTGAGTACACTGCTACCTAGCTGCGTTGTGATTCCACTGACAGGCCTGCTGAATCCATCTCGACTTTCACTCCTCTGGGCAGGATTAGAGCCACTTATTGCTAAGTTAGTGTTTGGTACATAGTTTCTCACCCGGCCACTGTTATCACTATGGTGGCTGCTGTTATTGCTACCGAGCTTGTTTGTGATGCCACTGGTAAATCCAGGCTGGATTATCCCTCCATTATTAATGTTGTCTCCTGATCTGATGAAATGACTGCTGCCAGGCCCGCTGTTAACGCTCCAACCCCTTCCTCCCACCTGGCCGTTCTGCCCATAGGTAGTAGCCTCCACCTCCAGGCCCACCACCATGCTCCTCTCCCCCGCCGAGTTGCTTGCTCGGCATGTATAGTTTCCCGTGTCGATCTTTTGAGAGACACGCACCTCCAGAGTTCCACCTGAAACCACCACAACTCGCTCAGAGTAATAACCAGATCCCAAACTTTGTGGGATTACGCGGTTCGCTGGGGAAAACCACGTCACTGTGGGGGCAGGATCTCCTGAAGCCTTGCAGGGAAGAGTCGCAGTTGCCCCCTGACGTACTTTGATGACGCGGTAGCTTCTGTCGTCGGTGAAGGTTGGTGGAGATGTCATCATGACCTTCACTTTGACCTTAAATGAATGAATAAAGGTTGGAGTTAATTTGCATTTTTGGCTACGTAAAAGTTTGGGTCACATTGAAAGAAATGTTTCTTGTACCTTCATGGTGTCTTGACCTCCTTGATTCTCAGCGTAACATGTATACTCCCCCTCTTCTCCCATACCCACTGCTGGAACCAGTAATGTCCCGTTGTCAAACACAGTTAGCCGTCGTGTTCGCCCTCCTCTGTCTTCCCCGTGCAACACACTGTTCACCGTGGTTCCATCTGGTAAGCTCCAACGAACAGCTGGGTCAGGCAGCCCGGATGCTTGGCAGTCCACCTGCGGAGGATCATTTAAAAGTTTTATCTTTTGCCTTTTTTTTTGGAGACAAAAACACAACACAAAAACTGTTGATAACAAAACAATTTCTTGTCTTTTAATGAATAATACATGCAGCACTCAATATTAAGGCTTTGATAGCTATATTTAGGCCCTTAAAAAAAATGAAAATTCATAGCACAAGATGTATCTAACAAACAAGAAATTTAGAAACACTCAAAAGATACCAAAAAGCTCATGAATGTTTAAATGAAAAATAATAAATAAAGAGCAAAACATTCCCACAATAATACTGCGTCTTATTTCTTGCATTTCACCCCCACTTGACATTATTTTTCATTGAGCCTTTAAATATTGATGTGTGCAGTACTATCCCCCGAAGGCCACTGTTTATGATTCATAACAGTCTGCTGTATGATCTGGGAGGTTTGCATTTCGTTTTTTTTTTTGTCTAAAAATATAAAGCACTTTTCGATCAAAACATGAATAAAAAGCCGAGCTGAAAGCCTGAACTTTGCAACCCAGCATACTGTGTATCAACAAAAATCAACAGTGGAGGTTTGAAATAAAGACTGTTTGGATATGAAAATGGGAAACACTCCAGTGAACCTCCTATTGCCAGAATTGCCATAGTTTTGTGCCAAACAGCGTGACATATAATTTACAGTAAAGCCAATATTACGTGCATCAAATTGGTTATTTGTATAGAATTGTAAAATGCACAAGAGTTCATAAAAAAAGCCAAATTCCAAGACAGTAGACAACAAACAGAATGCAGAGAAAAAATAAACCAAACACATGGACTGAGATTAAAACTATCACACTAAACTAACCTAATCTGGTATGTGTTTATTTGATAAGCATTGTTTTTTGTGAACAAGGACAATTATTCAGCCCACCTTTAATGGTTTGCCAAATGACACCATCTGATTTAATGGTATTTTTGGCTCAATCTTGGCGGGTTTGGTTGCCACAGAGACGCGCAGGAGGCGATAATCATCTGCAACCTTGTTCCGTGCGATGCATAGGTAGTCTCCAGCATCCTTCTCCGTTACTGCCTGGACCAACAGGCTGCCATTTGGATGCACCTTTAGGCGTCGGTCAAAGCTGCAATTCACACACAAATACCAACACATAACAAACATAATAACTTAGATTAGATTAGGAATATCACAACATGTAATGACACGACCAGCAACATTTCCCACACACCCCCTGTACCTGAAATGCATGTCCACCAGCTTTCTGTTGGGGGTCCTCCAGATAATGATGGGAGCTGGGTTGCCAGTTACAGTGCAGTGAAGCTGCAAAATCCCCCCGTAGTGGACAGTAGACGTGGAGGGCGATGAGGAGACGATACGGGCTTTACTGAAAGGAGAGACGGGCGAGGGATGCAGAACAGCTGGGGCTCTTCTGTCAGTGGGGAAAGAAGAAATAACTCTGGTGTTGTTTATAGCGGGTGAGAGTCTGGTGTTGTTTGTTGGCACAGTGGAGCGCAGGGAAGGAGAGGAAGGATCCATTTTTTTGATGTTGGTAAAGTGTGTGGGGGAGGCAGTGACTGTTTTATTGATTTTAGGAGATGAGTTAGAGGAATTGGGCTTGTAAGGATGTGAAGAGGAGTGAGAAGAGTTTGGCGTGAGCGACGAGGTCCTGGATGTCTCAGAGACAGATGGAGGGGAGAATTTAGTGTAGCCGAATGGACCTGAGGGGTAGCTAGGGATGGCCAAAGTTTTGTCTTTAATGAGTGAAGGAGCTGGTTTTTCTGTCGCGACTGTTTTTGTCCCCTCAGCTCTGGCTTGTCCCTGCCTTCTCTCTCCGTCTGCTCCCCCTTCAATTTCCACCTTCACCGTCCTCTTAACAGCCCCCACAGCATTACTTGCTGAGCACTCGTAGCTCCCTGCCTCCTTTGGCCCAACTTTTCGAATATGAAGCGTCCCGTTGGGCAAGACAAATAGGTTGCCATGGAGAAACTGGGATGGGCGAACAAGGGTCCCATCTGGGATTCGCCAGCGCAGGGTTGGTGGTGGAGCACCTCGGGCAGAGCAGTGAGCATAAACAGGCCTCCCTGGAGACAAGAGCAGGTGTTCCTCTCTGGGTTGCTGTATCACCGGGGGCAACGAGGACACGTGTACACGCACTGAGGCACTGGCAGCACCTGCTGAGTTGGAAGCCACACAGCGGTACACTCCTCGGTCACTAGGTAAAGTCACTGAGATGTGAAGGGTTCCGTTCGTGTCCATGGTGATCCGGCTGCTGAAGGGGCCGGCAGAGGTCAGGACGGAGCGATTGGGCAGGACCCACGAGAGCAGAGGGGCGGGAACGCCGTCCGCTTGGCACTCCAAACGCACTTCTCCACCCTGATGAATCGTGACTTCTCTGTAACTAGCCAGCTGCATACGAGGGGGGCGGGTCCAGACTTCCAGGGTAGTTAGCAGCCTGTCGTGAAGAAGCAGATCATACTCAATATAAATGCACATTACCAAAGCCCAAGCGTTTCGAATCTACATTTTGGAAACGTCCAAAGGATTACATAGAGTGGATAACACAAACTGACAGAAAGTTGGACACAAGAAACAATTAAACAGATTTCATATACAGACATTTGCATATGTCTTGAGGCTACGCACAAATGTTCAATCAAATGGGACTGTAATTGTGTCTGCAAGCACAACAAGTAGGGCTACAAAACCAAATACAGGCTGTAATTAAAATGCAGCTTATCGTAGTCCTTTGTAATAAATGCTGAAAATATTGTGTCCCCTGGTCATTATAACTGAATGATGTATTGTATAGTGCATTAATATGGATAACTGGTATCAGTAGGCTCACCTGTCACGACCCAGGAAGCTGTGTGCACTGCAGATGTACGTGCCCCTGTCCTGCAGCTGAACATTCTGGATAACAAGGGTGCCATTTGGCAAGACCTCAAAACGCTGAGCCCTGGAGTGGATTGACATCACTGCTCCTGAGAGAAAGACCGAGAGTGAGACGGTGCGACAGACAGACAGCCAGAGAGAGCAGCAATGAGGAGCCAGGAGTGAGAAAAACAGAGACAAATTGGAAAAGAAAGTTAGCGAGTGAGAATGAGACAGGAGAGGAGAGGAGGAGCAGGGGCACATCGAATGGCACAGCATGAAGTAAAGTCAGTGATGCAATGCACGAAATGTTCCATTACTTGCTTGCAATGTATTTCCCACATGGCAAGCAAGAGAAAAGCCTATTGTGTGCATGCCAGTGTGCAATGTTTGGTGTTAATGTTTTTTTTTTCATCACAGTAAAATGTGTTCATATTCAGTCACCCATAGTACATACTAAAGCTGAGGGTAATTTCCTTTAGAGCTGGTGACTTCAGGTTGTAAATACAAAGCTTTATTTATTCATTTCAAAAGGCAAAGTCTGTAGTTTTTTACCATACAAATGACAGATGTGTACACATTTCTGTTTTTTACTAGAGAAATGTTTCCTACTTCAAAATACAGGCTTGTTCAAATGAGCAGGTTTAAGTTATCTGGAAAATTTGCAAGTTGAGTTTTTGTAACAGTCTATGAAGGCCTGTAGAAGATGAAACTCTTCCCTGATTTATCCACTGATGCAGTTAATGGTGTTTGAAATATGTGCAGACAGCATCTGTGGATGCTCAAATAAATAAATGTTTGCTGCACTGTGCATACCTGTGGCAACTTTCGTCCATGTGATGGAGGGTTTCGGTTCTCCTTCAGCTTGACAATCCATCCTGGCAGTGCTCTCTGCTGGGAAAGACACTGTCCTGATGTGTGGATCTGCAATCTTTGGTCTGGATCTCAAAACTGGAGCCTGTGCAAAAGCATTTCGAAAACATATTATACTGGCAAATAAAGCAATAAAGATGAGAAATAATGACTGCTTGAAAAGAAGAAGACGTTGAGAGCAGGGCTCTACTAATGATAATTTCTCAGTTTGCAAAGTTGCAGAATTGTATTGGCCTTGGAGTTTTAATTTGTCATCTAAATGGCACGTGACTAGAGGACTTGCAACACCTTAAGTTTAGCAGAGCTGTGATGGATGAAGAAGGAGAGCTGTCGAAACTCCAACAATACCAAACATACATTATCCTAAAACGTAATCAACAGATCATCTGGTCAAATGCGTTCTAAACGGGTATTTTTAAGGAAAAGAAAACAACACCCAACCAAAATGAAACCATTAAATGGATGAATCAATTTACTTGTGGAGGTAAGGATAAAGTAAGATTGCAAATTCAATATAGCATTACTGTGGTCCTTAGATTTAGAATGACTCATTGGTGGTGGGCCCCGGAGGTTTGGTCTACTGAGGCTTGAAAAAATGAGCGCTGGAAATTAATCTACAAATGATTGCTTTAAATCCCTTGGGATTAGGCTCTCAAAACACATAATGTTGTTGGTTATGGAACATATGTTTTTCATCTCTTCTTTAGATCCCTGACGGAGAAACCCCATGAAATTGGAGAATTGTCATAAACATCCTTTAGTTTTAATAGCAGGTCATGTGGATAAAGATTAGACTGTTTTCAGATCTATTGTGCATTTTCTGCTAAGCTTTTGCCCCTAGGGCTCTTTCACAGTTGGGTGTAATGCTTGTGTGTGTGTGTGTGTGTGTGTGTGTGTGCTTGTGTTTGTGTGTGTAAGTGTGTGTGTGCTGTTATTTTCTGGGTCAGCACTCTCTCGGAAAAGAAATGTTAATTTGAGTTCCATATATATGAACTGCAAACTACATTGAAAAGTGCACTTAAAGTAATTACTAATTGAATGAATAAAAGCAAGAAAAATTGGGGAAACAATACATTTACCACTAAATTAACAAAGAAAGAACAAATGTTGGTCCAAGCTTGGCTTTATATCCCTTTTGCACTGTAATGCATGTGTTTGCTTTAAGACTCATTATTGGGCAACACCATCTACAAAGTAGAAATATTACGTTATCTGAATTAATTTGGACTCACCACAGGAGTGACAGGGAGTGGAGGAGACGGAGGCCACTGGGACCTGCTGCTGTGCGAATCTGGAATAGAATTGGCTCCAGGGTTCTTCCAGTCAGTGGAGGGACGGATCTCTTTCGGAGCACCAGAACCAAGCCTCTCTCTGGAGTCAGTTTGGACAACGCTTGGCCTCTCTCTGGATGCCGCTTTGGTACTTGTTGACATGACTGCTGTGGTAGTACTGGAAAGAGTAGTAGGTGTAGGTGCCCTTGTCGTAGTTGGAGGAATTTTGGCTGAAGCAGTAGTTGTAGTACTAGTAGATGGAGTGGTAGTTTTAGAAGTTGTAGTAGAAGTAGTGGTAGTGGGGTTAAGAGTCCTAGGGATGCCTTTAAATGAGATTGTAGTGGTAGCAGTAGTAGTAGTAGTAGTAGAAGCAGTAGTAGTAGTAGTAGTAGAAGCAGTAGTAGAAGCAGTAGTAGTAGTAGTAGTAGCAGTGCTAGCATCAGTTGTGGTAGAGGTTCCAGTTGTAGAAGTCGTAGTTGGAGTAGTAGATGTAAGAATAGGAGTTGTGGTGGTAGTTGTAGTCGGAGTAGTAGTAGTAGAGGTAGGAGTAGTTGTAGTATGCCTGGTAGTGCTAGATGTTGGAATGGTAGCTGTAGTAGACACAGTGGGACTTGTAGTCATAGGAGTAGTGGTAGAGGTGCTTCTAGTGTTGCCAGCAAGACCCGTAGAATGAGTTCTTCTGAGAGTAGTTGAAGGAGTTGTTGTGGATTTTGCAGAAGCGGTTGTATCTGTTCTGGGGACTGAGGAAACAATGGAGGAGTGAGTGGTTGAAGAGGGGGACCGATCGGGTACACCCAAGAAATTCCTCTCTAGCTCTTCACCGTGTTTGCTTGAGGGTCTATCAACATGTTTGTCTAAGGCTGTTTGCGTTTCTGTGCGTGTCTGCATGCCATGTGTAAATGTCCCAGAGTGCGTATCTGGCACATGCGTTTCTGAAATCGAAGTGTCAGAGTGAGTGGGTGCTGGTGTGTTGAAAAGAGAGGACTCTTCAGTGTCTGCTGTCTTGTCTAAGTGAGTCATCACGTCTGCATGTGTGTCTGTGTTTGTATGGGAGGGGGAGGGAGTCGGTGAGGGTGAGGCTGATTTTGAAGTGGAGATACCAGGAGCGTTAGAAACAGGGGGAGACACGGGATTCTGAGCCACAACATTTGGAGCAGTCTTAATTTGGTCACTCGGGTTCAACAAAATAGCTGGAGCCATGGCTGTTGACACCGGCAACAACATATTGATTTGATCTGTGGTCGTGTCAGGTGTCACAGTCTGTGACCTTGGGTTCGTAGGGTCAGGGAGAGGTTGGGCCGGGGTCAGAGGTCGCCCCCTGGGCCTGTTGATGATTCGTCTTCGCTGTCCGATCTTCCTGCGTGAGTTCCAGGGGCTTTGAGGTCTGGAGTTTGGAACCAAATTAGGAAGGAATCCCTGTCGAGGATTCTGAGGCCTGGTTCTTGATGGGCTGGGGTTTGCTTTTTGTTCATCCCCTTCACCTGGTTCTTGGACAATTTCATTTGTTCCTGACATTGGATTGGATGTGACTGGTCCTGTGTGTGTCGCTGGGTTTGCTGTTGTCTGTGTTTGTGGACCTGCTTTCTCTGTCTGTATGTGTGCCTCTGTCTCATTCTCCATATCAGTCTGTTCTTCTGTTGCCCTCTCTGAGCCAGTCTCTATTTCAGTATCTGTATCTGTCTTTGTTTCTGATTGAACAGCTTGAATGGGCTGCAGCCCTTCCTCCTGTAAAACAGTATCATCAACAGATGACCCTTCAGTTTCTGCTTCCATCCCTGCTCCTTGAGCTCTACTTCTTTCTGTATCATCATCTCCCTCGTGTCTTGTTGTGTCTTTATCTTTGCCTCCTTGAACTGATGCAGTCGTGGGTTTTTCTGTTGTGATGGGTTGGCTGTTGTTCGTATGAGCAGTCTTTTGACGTATTTTAGCCAAGAGATCAGCCCATTTCTGAGGGTCTATCCTTTGTTTGTTTGTAGTAACTCTATGTCTGTTCTCAAAGCGGTTTCTTCCCCTGTCAGTGGGTGAAACAGGCCCGCCGCCTCTTCTCAGGGGACCTTCTCTCACAGGAACTCGTCTTCGTGGCGTTCCATTTGGATAACGTCTGTTCGGAGTTGGCTGGAGAGATGCTGGTCGCCTCCTATTGCCAACAACAGTTCTCTCTTCTTCTTCTTCTCCTCCATCCCCCGATGCCTCATCCACCTGACCTAATAAAGGGGCTCTTATCCTGGTTGACCTGCCAGCAGCTGACTGTGGCCCTCTGGGAAATGCAGTTCTAAGCGGAGGGATGTGCTGTGTATTTAATATCAGCTGAACAGATAGAGAGTCGCTACCATACTGGTTGACCGCAATGCAGCGGTAATGACCAGCATCCTGCAGAGAGGGGTTGGGCAGAGAGAGACTCCCATTTGATCCCATCGTGACTCCACCTGATACAGCCAATCCCTGCCGCACTAAATTTCCATCTGGTAGAATCCAAGTCATGTAAGGTTCTGGTGAACCAGACACCCCGCAAGACAAAGTGACAGGTTCCCCAACTGATCCTGTAAGAGGAGGTCCCACTTCCTCTCCTGAAGGTGGAACAGATGACCCCTCCACTGCCAGGTACAGGGGGAGAACATCCACATCTTTTCCAGCCCAACCAACACAGTAGTAAATCCCAGCATCTGAGAGCTTTACTTTTTGTAGAAGCAAACCAGAAGCTGAGGCCCGCAGCCGACCGTCTGGGCTGCTGGAGGGTGGGATAAGCTTGGATCCATCTGGGAGAATCCACTGTACTTTCGGGTTGCCAGAACTGAGAAGAGGGCAGGACAGCTCTACCTTACTGCCTGCTACTGCTGCCAGTGCTGTGGTAGTGTGATTAGTAGACATCAGCACCCATGGGTGAGAAGCAGCGGAGGACGATGAGTGATGAGAGGTAGGGCCAGGATGAGCAGAAACTCTTGTTGAGTATATAAGTTGAACTTTATGTCCATTAGACTGTGCTCTGTTTAGCTGAATGCTAATGGCTGCCTGGAGTAGCCAATGTGGCCTGGCTTTAACAGAAGCTCTGACTCCAGTGTGATAATATCCATCTGTCTCCACCGCCTGCCTGTAGCGGTAGGCCAACGCTGGGGCTTTACTCAGCATGATCTCCCTCTCAAGGCGAACCGCAGTCTCACTGTAATAAGCCAGAATCCTCCAAAGTTTCTCATAGCTCTGTCTCTCCAAAGGGCACTCCAGGGAGAGTGACAGAGCGAGGGGGAGAGGAGCAGAGGAGGACAGGGAGAGATCTGGAAGAGGAGCAATATCCTGGGAGTCAGAAGAATGAGTGATGTTGCAACTCAGATCCACACTGTTTCCTTGCTGGTCAGACAGACCCAGAGAGACGCTGCCCAGAGGCTCTCTGAAGGCTTCGCTGGTTAGGATTTCACTGGGCTCCGTCTCCAAAGGTGTTTCCTTTCCTGTGGAGGGGATGACGGGCGAGCTGCACAGTAAGGCAGTCTGCTCAAGCAAGCCTTGCCCTTGAAGCGTACTGGGCGAGGCACAGACCGGACACTGAGGACCACCGGGACATTTCATTAAGCCTAATTGAAAGAGAGAGACAGAGAAAATTATTTCATCAGAGGCAATCTCACCACGTCTGGCACATCAACTGCGTCGTACACTGTTGAGATGATCATAGCAACTATACAAATATATGACTGCACAATTCAGCTATTTGCACATATTACTGGGAAGTGAGTCATTTATTAGTCATGCCATCTCATTTTAGGCCTTAATTACACTTTATATCTCTTACTGATTAGGTATGGTTACTTCATCTACTCCTAAATCAGAAGTATGCTATCACTTTATTATCACACAGGAATCATTAGCCTAAATTTCAGCTGCCACACATCAGCGCTGTCATCACGGATTAGTCATGGCAGGTTAAGTCTGGCATATCAATGAGACACATTTCACGGTCTAGCCTTCTTTCACATCTCAATAACAGCCACGAGACAGGCAAGAAGAGATACAGAAAACGGAGGGAAAACAACAAAGAATGTGTGACAAAAAGCAGGTGGAGGGTGGTCGTCAATAGCGTCAAGATAACAAAACCAGATGTACTAAACAGGGGGTTTTATTCATCTCTCAACATCTGGATGGAATTAATAACTAATGAGTTTTTTAGCCTATTCCAAAAGTTTCTATTCACCTTATCTCCTTATCGGTCCATAAATCAATCAAGCAATTTTATGTTGCATTACCCACCGCATTATTGCGTCTCTGGCTGAATCAAACTGGCTCAAGGACACACTAATAATTGACAACCATAAATCCCATGTGCGCACGACAACAAAACAACCGTTGAAAGCAAACGATTGTTCAGATATGACAGTCACCTGGGTGAGCCAGACTCCAAGTGAGAAGCCAGTTCATCCTGCAGTCGCAACTCCACGGATTAGCCTGCAGCACAAGAGTCTCCAGCAGAGGTGCTGTCACTAAGGTGTCTTCAGGTAAAGTAGTTATGCTGTTGTTGGAGAGGTCTAGGTGCCTGAAGGAGGGAAAGACAAAGCAAAACAAAAAGAAGAGAATGTGGAGGCTGAATCAAAATCAAAAGAAATTAATGTGAAAGCAAGAGGTGGCAGGTTAGAGGTAAGGAATTCATCATTTCTAGCATTCTCATTATCACCTTCCTGTTCAGGTTTTACACATCTATGCTCTGCTGTAGTTGTGTGAGCGGATAACAAAACGGGTGAAGAGATGCTGCTATAGCTTTAGGATTAAACGCTGATTTATCTAAACTCCAATAATCAGCAATGCAAATGTTCCCCTTTTTCATCAGACTAAAGTCGATCAGGCATTACATTATTACCAGATTTGTGGGGTAATTTAATCAATTTAACAATGTTTTGCTATTGCTCATTCATAAATCAGCCCGTTTCAAAAGAGTTTTTTATGATTCTGAGAGTCAGTTCAGTTTACTTAGGATGAAATGGCCCGTGTTTTGATGAAGAACTACAAATTCGGTTGGATTTAAGTTCCTGTCATCACTGCCAGAACCAGGAGCCAGGCCGAATCCGAACACGTTTAAAACCAAACGCCGATTACTGCATTATGCGCTTTAGGTGTAAAAGCTCACCTGAGTGTAGAAAAGTAATATGTATTCAGCAGGGACAGTGTGCACAAAGTGTGAGGATGCAGCTGATGCAGCCTGTTCCCTTGCAGACGAAGCAGCCTGAGGCTAGGCAGCTGGAGCAGGGCCCGGGGGTGGATGTGTTGGAGGAGATTGTGATCCAAGTACAGGCGCAGCAGTGAGGTCAAGCCAGAAAAGGTCAGAGATGAAGAGATCTCTCTCAGCTTGTTATAGCTTAGCTTTAGTATCTGGGGGGGTAGAGGAAATGAAGTGAGCAGAAGAAATGAAGGATTAGAAGAACAGACATCAAGGCTGATTAAAAAAAAAAAGAAGTCTATCTATAATCATAAGTCTGTCACTGGACACCACATGCTTGTAAATTGAATTTATGACAAATGGTGTGTGCAGGGAATCGGAATGAGGAAGGAAGAGTTGTAAAAAAAAAAAAAACTCTTTGTAAGCAAAAATGACTGATTGCACCCTGTGTACAATTTTAAAATATGGGGATATAATTCCAGCAGTTCACCATCTCACATGTACAAATTGAAAAAAATAGCCCACAGCATATAACCACACGATATATTCATGCTGCGACTTTTACCAAAGCAGGGAAAACTAAAAGGATATTCTAGAACTGGGGGTCCACAGCTTTCTAAATATGAAATTTAGCCCTTTATCCCCTACAGAAGACTTTAAGGAATCTATTGCTATTCCAGTCATGTGTGAAGAACCTACCAAAAATTTAAGAAGGCACACCATGAAAATCAGGTTGTGAAATTTTGTTTCTGTGAGGCTTATGCTAAATCTGCCCTCCAGGGAGGCTACTTAGCTGGAAAAGTTCCAGCTGCTGACAGATCTAACACGTGAAGATGTCAGCACATGGAAATATGGATCCTATTATCACAGAGTGGCAAATATATCAGCATCTGCCGGGGAGATGAAGGGAACAATTGCTTGTTGAGTAATATCACTTCCCCACGGACTGCTAACTCTGCCCTTAGGTTGCTGCTAAAATGTCCAGTGTGTTTCCTGTCACTGAGCAGTGAAAAGAATGATGGCACATAAATTATTCATTAGTTGTAGAGAAATTAGAAAAATGTGCTGAAGATATGAACAGAATCATGTTGACTGTTATATTAATTCCATTCTACTCTCACAGATCAAAGCTTTATTCCATGAATCCGTTTGTTAATCTTGCAGCATGACTGCAAGATTTTGGGCACATTTATCAATGTAGCGTCCTCTCTAAATGGCGCCAAGCCTTTTTGACAAATACTATATATCTTGATAATCCCTGGATTACTCATGTTATTAAAAACCAAAGTCTTTTCTGACAAGCAGTTTAAATATATTCGTCTCTCATCTCTAGAGAGCCGTGCAGACTGTAAACTACAAGTACTGCACATAGAGAATTTTTTAGAGCTGATCTTTCTGCAACAAAGCATCTGAAATAGTCGAGGCGGCTCTGTGCGGTCCGCTCTGCCCGAGGCTGGAGAGTGATGAAAGTAAACTTTGTGTCCTGCAAAAACCTTCATCTCCGAAGAGCCAAAGGTTAAATATGTGAGGAAACACTGTTTTATTTTACTTATTAACAGGCATATATTGTATAACTAAGCATCAGTAGCTTGGCAAAGAACAGATCAGGACACTTTCAGTACTGGCTGCAGTTAACTACCTGAGAAAAAGGTCGACTATAATTTAATGAAGAAGGACTTAAAAATAAAAAGCTAAACTTTCTGTTGCATCACTTTTCCACTTTCATAAAATGTTGTCTGTGCATCATCTTTTCCAACCCAGTTTTCCCTCCTCTCTCCTCAATCAGATTATGCAACCTGCGTAAGAAGTTTCCAGAGGTGCGTGTTGTTGTCGTTGCTCTTCTCTCCGTTTACCTGCAGTGACTTCATATCTCTGAACGCGTCATCTGGAAGGTGATGGAGGTCATTGCTGTGGAGCATCAGAAGCTCCGCCTTCTTCAGTCCAGCAAAAGAGCTGTCATGGATTCTGCTGATGCTGTTAAACCTGCAACAACACAGAAACAGCATCTTCAACCTAAAACGTCGTTATTATTTCCTTGTGAGCTCATTACTTAAATCTACTTCTGACATTTAATTCCAGATTTTGAGGGCTGTGTTAGCAAACTAAACAAGTCCCTGAAGGTTCTTAGATAGCTGCATGTCTGCACACTTGCACATTTTGCAAGCCTGTGTGTGTTCCCCATACCCTAAGTTTATGCGGCGTGTGTGTGCAGGCAGGCCAGGAGGTACAGTGAGCAGCGAGCGGAAGGTACAGTGGACTTCATTGGCCTGGTAGCAGTTACAGCTCCTGGGACAGGACCGGCCCCCGGGCACCACAAGGATCAGCACCAGGAGGGCCAGCGACGCCGCCGGCACACGGACACTCCGGTACATCTTCACTCACGAGAGGGGAAGCTGCACTGAGATGATCACTGCCAGAGAGAAAAAAAAGAAAGTGAAGAAGAAGAAATGCCAAAAAGAATCCAGATGAGACTTTTGTGTCTGTCTCTCTCCAGTAATGCAGCCCAAAGCCACCTCTTTGACTCAGAGGTTGCAATCTGTACAACAAGTGCTACCCTCTGCTCTTCCACCCACACTGCACCCATACAAGCACCCTGGCACGTTACACCTGCCTCAGATATAACACTCTTATCCAATCACACATGCGCATGCTCAGAAGGATATTTGAGTGACACAAATAAGAGTTCATGTAAAGAAAAAAAGCGCAACAGGATTCAATAAAAAAAGGGGATTCAAGGTAAAATTAGACCTCGCAGAAACTCCCCCGCTGGTCTCTCTCTCTCTCTTCTTCTTATCTCATCTCACACAAGCGCAGGAATTCACTTAAACCATTCAAACACATCAAACCAACTGTAGAGCCAAAAGCTGCGAGAGGCTTTTCAACTTCAAGCCGAAATTAAAGTAAATTACTTCTCCGTGGCAGGAAGCTTTCGAGATGAATAGATTATTGTAAACGCGTGGTCACGGCTGATAAGGACATACCTTGAAATCCTCTGGTCCGCAGGAGTGAAATTATTTCACGGAATTATTCATTTTTTCGCTCATCAAATGCTGATTTTAATCCGGTTGCGCGCTTCGGGAGTTTGATATGCAATTACCCAGTTTATTCACCCATTAGCTCCGACACACACACACACACACAAGAAAAAGTTGTCACCTCAGATGTCACTGAAGGAAAGCGAGGGAAAACCTGCGAAATAGTAACACTTCTGTCAAGTCAAAAAAAATCAATTTAAAAAAAAAAAAGTTGAAAGAAATGCGTTCAGCTGCATCCAAGAGTTCTTGTTGCGCGTCTCTTGGAAAGGAAAGTAGTGCAAGAAGCGGCTGGCGGACTGTTTGCAAAACGCGTCTGGCGCTGAGTGAATGTGTGTGAGTGTGTGTGTGTGTGTGTGATTGTGTGCGCAGGACAGTGGATGTGTATTTGCGCTGAGGAAGTGGGACTGAAGTGAGCAGAGTGACGCTCCGGCAGAGGGGTCTATCCGAGGAGGGGCTTTCTGGAGACCTACAAGTAACACGTTGCTGCGCTCCAGTCTGCTCTCCAAATCCTTTAAACTCCGCAGGCAGGCCGTGGAAACACGCATCCAAGTGATCTAAATGAAGGGCTGCGGCTCATTTTAACCCGTTTAACGCCCTTTTATAACACGCTAAGAACTACATCTCCCTGTATTTTGTGACTTAATTCGAGGAGGGGTGCTGGCTTTATAGATGATCATTATACTGTTTTTATTATTTTTCCCCTCCTTTTTTTTCATTTGGAGGAGGTTGCAGCAGCCAATGATTTTTTTTTTTAATGAAAAAAAGAGAAAAAAATCCCCAGAGACTCAAAAAAAATCACATTTCCAAGAATGTTTTGATCAGCATAAAAAAAACCCTAAGAACTAACCAATAACTAAAATGCCCCCCAAAATAAAAGAACAAAAATAAAAACAAAGAGACAGCAATCAGAACTCCCCTATTTGATTGGTTAATATTATAAATTCCATCTTATTTTGCCAACAGTAAATATCATCTCCTTACATAAAGTGCCAAAGTGACGTATCCCCTCTGCAAGAAAATAATTCAGGTTGGAAAGTAGTAAATCCAATTCGACATGTCTCCTTCAAAACCAGATTATCCACCTCAAGTCACCTCAGAATACCAAAAATACCACAGAGGACACGACCTCTGTGTCTTCACCGCTAACTTATTTTTTGGGATTAAAGTTTGCATTTACACAACATGTGCAAAGTTTGATTGTGGCATTAGGAGCTCCATCCATTTCTAATCCATATCCATTTTTATGTAGTTTATTTTAACCTGATAGGACAATGAAGCACAAACTGGACGTCAGGTTTCTGCTTTAGTAGAGTCCCACTTGCAACATGCAGGACAGTTAGTTCCCCTGAAATGTGGGTTTAGGTCAGCTAAACATGGGACTGTCCTGCCTTTTGTGAGGATTCTCCGGCACCCCATAATGATCACACCTCCTTCTGAGAGGCTTAAATGAGGAGAGAGCAAAAATAGATTGATGCTCCTCAGCTGTTGTCTCCTATGAGTGACCCACCCACCCCCTGTGTGTTTGCATGGAAGGGGGCTCAGTGAGTGTAAGTGGGGGACAAGCAAGTAAGTTAGCAAGACAGCTTTCACATAAAGTTGGATTTTCTTGCATCCACCCTAGTTTCTGTCTTTAGAGGAGGAAAAAAAACCAGCCTCATCCGTATGCCGACTGTTCCGGTAGATCTGAAGGTTTTCTCTGTTCACCACAGGGGGCAGCAGAGCTAGAGAGCAGCAGCAGATGTAAGAATAAGGTCACCACCGTAGACGTTTGATTTTTAACATCAACTGCCTGAATAATGGATTGTAACATTAATCTTGAATGACTGTTAACACCCCCCAGCTCGACAGCCGACAAGTGAACATCCGTAGACTTTGGACGGTGGATGCGATTTGATGCTTTACAATCACTGGCAAAAAAAAAAGAAAAGAAAAATTCTCTGTGATGTTTCTCAACGGATGATCCAATCTTCACCACCTTATAACCCGTCTCTCTGCAGGCAGTGGTTTGTCTGCGAGTGCTTAACAGTTCTCACGCTGCACCGCTTCCCCGTAGCTGTAACACGACTGTAAAAAGCATTAGGCCCAAACCCAGCTCACTTCATTACAATACTCATCACCAATATTGGAATGTATTGCACCATAATAAATGAATCAGTGTCTGTCTGACTGGAAATAAGTGAGGAATGAAGACATGATGTAATATCAATGCCTCCTCGGGGGGGAGGTGAATGAATGAACAAAGGGAGGCAGAGATTGAGGGTTATGATGCTGACTTAGTTTACAGACAGTAACTAGAAATTAATGAACCAATCAGCCAATCAGTAAATTACTAAGGAAATGATTTACACGTATCTCACAACAAGTGGTGGGAGAGTTGCTAAAGGAATGTAATCAATCTCGATACACTACAGATTACTAATTGAAAGGGTTGAAAAGGTCATTACATTTCCTAATTAGTCAAAAGTGATTGTTAGGTTGCTTCCGTTTATCAGTGCAGCTCTGTCAGTGGCACCTTTAACCCTTTGAACCTCTGAACCTTAAGCAGTTTTAGGGCAATTTCTTTGCTCCCGTCACATTTTTACTCACCGTGGGCTTGTTTTCCACTCCTGCATCTCTATGGAAACAGCACAATCGTTGCTAGAAGTAGAGAGAACTCAAAAATATCGTTTGTGAAGTACACCAAAGTTATGCCATAAATCATATTTAAAAAGAAAGTTGAATGTTAAATATTTTGTACTGCAATAAACATGTAGGACATTTGAGTTCCCACCTGTTACCAATACTGTAAAAAGTGGTACATGTTTAAGGTATTTGCCACTTACATTGTTTTGTTTCCATACGCGTCTCTTTTCTGACCTGTGTAAACACGGCCTGCTGTTCAACCTAGTTCAGCAGAAAAGCCTCCAAATTTGTCTTGTGACTCTTGGTCACTAATGGCATCATGGTTGTGCCAAGGAGTGCTGACTGTTTTTGCTTTTCAGAGCATCTTGTCAATGAAAACATGTTATTTTGGGCAAAGCGAGGCATGCATAGTAAAGTGATTGTTGATTAAATATCATTTTAAGCTGAAGTTTGATTAAGGGAAGCATGGTGGAGCAGCAGTTAGCACTGTCTCCTCACAGCGCCAAGGTCCTGGCTCCAAATCTGGGCTTGGGGTCTTTCTGTGTGGAGGTTGCATGTTCTCCCCATGCAGCGTGGGTTCTTACTGGGTTCTCTGGCTTCCTCCCACGGTCCAAAGACATGCTGAGGTTAAATAGTGATTCTAAATTGTGTTGCAATAGACGGGCAACCTGTCCAGGGTGTCTCCTGCCTTTACACCAACTCAGCTGGGATGGCTTCCCACCCTACAGAGGATAAAGCCATGTTTAGATCATGGATGGATTTGATGAGGTTTTCCAATGGAATAGCATGTCACAGAACCATGAAAAAGTAAAAAAAATAAAAAAGTTTAAACCCAGCGACAGGTCATGAGGTTCAGAAGGTTAAACAACTCCAAAGTTCGCACTCACTCGTCATGTGTTCCGTATTTAACAAGTGAGGAAATACAAAACATGTTATCAAAACACTTTTTTTTTTAGGAAAGTATATTTATCCTTTCGACTGTTGATCCTAGCAGTGGAGGTGATTACTGACCATCAACAACTAGTTTAATATTTGTCACTGGGAATGAACACATTTGAAGAGTCCCGTCCCTGCAGTAATGCTGCATTCCACAAAACTTACATTTCCAGCCTCCTCCTTGGAAAATGATGGTGGGATGCTTCTTAAACTCGTAGCTCTTAATGGGGAAACTCTGGCCAGTTTCATGCACCCTGTCTGAGTTCAGTCCCAAGCAGCCGTGTTGCTCTTGAAAAAAAAAAGCAGGTCATTCTGAAAGTAGGTTTGTCAGTTGACAAGGCAGCTAAGAACACTCAACGTGTACATGACACAAGATTCCTAGAAGGTGTATTTCTCTGATTTTAAGCTCCTCTTACAAGTCTCCAGTTCTTGCACCAAGGAATTACACCTCGGGCCAATCTGTCCACCAAATGCATGGAGACAAAGCTGGTACCAAGCTTCTATTACCGTGCATGTCAAAGCCACAAAAGTCAAAGAAAAGGAGCTTTACTAGGATAACTATGATTCTAATGACAACACTTATCACTTAAAAAGTAGTCACATTTTTACAATATGTGACTCAGTAATGCTTTAGTGTCAGACACTGTGTCTGACGTACCCACAGTACAACTCACAGTTGCTTCAGAAAGTATGCTGACTCCTTCAGTTTTCCACTTTTTATTGCGCTGTAAATTAAAACTGGCACTTTTTTTCAGCCAATTATGGTCTGGGACATGACCAGGGCAGCAACAGTCTAACAGAGCTTCAGAAGTCATCTGCAGGACGGGAAAACCTGCCGAAAGGACGACCATCTCAGCAGGCCTTTATGAGGGAGCACCTAGAGGGGAAACTACTCTGAATAAAAGAGAAATGCCTGCTCGAGTTTGTCAAACTGCATTTAATAGGCTCTGAGAGCTTGAGGTAAAAGATTCTCTGATCTCATGAGTCAAAAACTGAACTATTTGGGCAGAGCTCCAAGCGTTAAGTCTGGCAAACACCAGGCACTGCTCATCATCTGGCAAACACCATCCCTACAGTGAAGCACGGTGTTGGCAGCATCTCACTGTGGGGATGCTTCTAAGTGGCGAGGACACAGACTGATTGGTCAGATTGAAGTCAGGATAAATGCAGCCAAATACAGAGATGTCCTTAAAGGAAAAAAAAAAGAAAACATGATTTGAGGAACCACCTGAACCAAAGCATACAGCCACAACAAGGCTGGGGCAGCTTCAGGAGAAGTCTCTGGCTGTCCTTGATTGACTCAGTCAAAGCTCAGAGTTAAACCCCATAAAACATCTGTGGAGAGACATAAAGATGACAGTTCACAGACATCCATCCATCCATTCTGACAAGGTTTGACAAGATCTGCCTGAAAGCCTGGGAGAAACGGTTCAAATCCAGGTGTGCAAAACCTGTGTAGACTCACCTAAGAAGACTTAAAACTCTAATGGCTGCCAAAGGCGGCGCTACAAAGTGCATTAGGGGTCTGAATGCTTTTGTACAGGCACTTTAGTCTAAGTAAGTTAGTAAATGTGGCGAGGTTACAAAGGGGGTGGAGGAGAGTAGACAGAGAGCTGGGTGGAGCTGTGTCAGTATCTAAAACCTGACAACACCACCTGGGACTCTCACCCCAGGAATTAGTGTTAAATTTAAACTACCACCCACCATAGTCACACACAGGTCACACAAGTTCAATATCTGAGAGAA